TGCCATGCCGCGGTTGTGCTCTATAGCGTCGTGGATCGAGTCTTCCTTTGCATCCGAGTCCTGACCGAACTGATCTGGATCTGAAGCTCGAGCTGCCTGAACACATAGTAGCTGCCCCAGAGCTAATTGACAGGGGGACATGCCAGGAGGACGCGCCGCGAAACGTCCCAAGGGACGCGCCAGGCGACGCGCCAAGGGACGTGCCATGGGGTCGCACCGTAGGACGTGCCAAGGGGACGCGCTACGGGACATCCTCAAAATTCCTGCGCGCGGGACGCGGCCCGCGCGAGACATCCTTGGAATTCCTGCGAGCGGGACACGAAAACAAGCATTTCGCATGAGACATCCTCTGAATTCTGGCCCCCCACGAAGCCCCCGCTCGAGACATCCCCAAATTTTGCAAAACCAGCGTTTCGCTCGAGACATCCTCAACAAAGTATGAAAAACAAGCGTTTCGCTCGAGACATCCTGCCAAAATTCTAAGAAATCCTAACAAAACAAACGAATTAGTCGAGACATCCTCGAAATTCCTGCGCGCGGGACGCGGCCCGCGTGAAACATCCTTGGAATTCCTGCGAGCGGGACACGAAAACAAGCATTTCGCCTGAGACATCCTCTGAATTCTGGCCCCCCACGAAGCCCCCGCTCGAGACATCACCAAATTTTGCAAAACCAGCGTTTCGCTCGAGACATCCTCAACAAATTATGAAAAACAAGCGTTTCGCTCTAGAAATCCTACCACAATTTAAAAAAACCTGACAAAACAAGCGAATTAGTCGAGACATTCTCGAAATTCCTGCGCGCGGGACGCGGCACGCGCGAGACATCCTTGGAATTCCTGCGCGCGGTGCGCTTTTCCGTTATTTGTCGAGGATTCTGCGAACAACGCTCCGCACCCTCTTTTTTACGAGGGAAAACGGTGGTCTGCGGATCCGTTTTTTTATTGAGGATCCGAGATGAAGGGCGCACTTTCCTTGAGCGGGCACGCACGAAACGCACTTTTTAAAAACAAATCAGTACTTTACCTCGTTATTTACGCAGAATAATTTCGCCGGCCCTCAACAAGTCAAAACCGGGGGTAAACCAACTAAAAGAAAACCCTGGGCCCACGCCCTTTCCGGGAAAAACGACCCTACCCTGGGTTACAAGTGCGTGGTCTGTAAACCTCCTGGGAACCCCCAAAGCCTCGAGCCGCCAGGACGCGGCACATCACGCAGGGTTTACCCTGTCAGCCCACAGGAGTTTCAGCGCACAGCGCTTCGTAAACCAGGGTAGGGGCGTTTTTTTCATTCCCTTGAATAATCGTCACCAGACTATGTTGTTACTGGGGGAACGAAGAATGACGTAAACATGACAACTCGGAGGTCCGCGCAAATTTCTCAGATCCGCGCTGGACCCCCTGGTGGCGCCTAGTGCCGCTGTAACTTTTTTGCAGTGGAGAGGGACGATGACGGCGGCGACGGCGACGAGAGAAGGAAAAGGAGGGGGATAAGAGAGAGAGAGAGAGAACAACAAATAAAGAAATAAAGAAACATAGAGGGCGGCGAAAGAAGAACATGATGGACCCACGAACCCGGAAAGGGATATAGACATGTGGAGCATGGACACGTTTTCATGATACCCAACTGGGCAACACCTCACGAAACATCCCACGAGACACCTCACGAAACAGCCCACGAGACACCTCACGAAACATTCCACGAGACACCTCACGAAACATTTCACGAGACACCCCGCGAAACATTCCACGAGACACCCCACGAAACATTCCACGACGACAGGCAACCACTCAACCAAGGCGGTGTGGTCGTGCTGGGGAGTGGTCGTGCTGGGGTGTGGTCGTGCTGGGGGGTGGTCGTGCTGGGGGGTGGTCGTGCTGGGGGGTGGTCGTGCTGGGGGTGTGGTCGTGCTGGGGGGTGGTCGTGCTGGGGCGTGGTCGTGCTGGGGCGTGGTCGTGCTGGGGCGTGGTCGTGCTGGGGCGTGGTCGTGCTGGGGCGTGGTCGTGCTGGGGTGTGGTCGTGCTGTGGTAAGGTCGTGCTGGGGTGTGGTCGTGCTGGGGTGTGGTCTTGCTGGGGTGGGGTCGTGCTGGGGTGTGATCGTGCTGGGGTGGGGTCGTGCTGGGGTGTGGTCGTGCTGGGGTGTGGTCGTGCTAGGGTGGGGTCGTGCTGGGGTGGGGTCGTGCTGGGGAGTGGTCGTGCTGGGGTGTGGTCGTGCTGGGGTGTGGTCGTGCTGGGGCGTGGTCGTGCTGGGGTGGGGTCGTGCTGGGGTGGGGTCGTGCTGGGGTGGGTTCGTGCTGGGGTGCTCCGCACCCTGTGATTTATCGATCGGGTCGTGCTGGGGTGTGGTCGTGCTGGGGTGTGGTCGTGCTGGGGTGTGGTCGTGCTGGGGAGTGGTCGTGCTGGGGTGTGGTCGTGCTGGGGCGTGGTCGTGCTGGGGGGTGGTCGTGCTGGGGGTGTGGTCGTGCTGGGTGGTGGTCGTGCTGGGGCGTGGTCGTGCTGGGGCGTGGTCGTGCTGGGGCGTGGTCGTGCTGGGGCGTGGTCGTGCTGGGGCGTGGTAGTGCTGGGGTGTGGTCGTGCTGTGGTAAGGTCGTGCTGGGGTGCGGTCGTGCTGGGGTGTGATGGTTTGCTGGGGTTAGGTCGGTTAGGTCGTGCTGGGGTCGGGTCGTGCTGGGGTGTGGTCGTGCTGGGGTGTGGTCGTGCTGGGGTGGGGTCGTGCTGGGGTGGGGTCGTGCTGGGGGCTGGTCGTGCTGGGGTGTGGTCGTGCTGGGGTATGGTCGTGCTAGGGTGGGGTCGTGCATTTCGCTCGAGACATCCTGCCCAAAATTCCAGGAAATCGTACAAAAACAAACGAATTAGTCGAGACATCATCGAAATTCCTTCGCGCGGGGCGCTTTTCCGCGTCGCGGTCGGCTCTGCAAAACAAGCGTTTCGCTCGAGACATCCTCGGCAAACTCTGCGGAGCAAGCGTTTCGCTCGAGACATCCTCAACACACGAAAAAGTGGCCCGCACCCTGTGATTTATCGATCGGGATTTCAAAAAACAAGCGTTTCGCTCGAGACATCCTCAAATTTTAATTCGCCGGCCTCCTTCGACCTCGATATTTATCAGGGAAAAAATTCGCCGGCCTCCTTCAAGTTGGCACCGGGGGACAGGTTTACCCACTAAAAGAGAACCCTGGGCCCAGGCCCTTTCCGGGAAAAAAGAGGGGGATGATATAATCTCTATTTTATATATATATATATATATAGAGAGAGAGAGAGAGAGAGAGAGAGAGACAGAGAGAGAGAGAAAACAAAACATGATCGACCCACGAATCCGGAAAGGAATATAAAACTGTAACACATGGCAGCGTTTTCAAAGACACCTGATTGGGTGACGGGCAAATGCAATGCTGAAGGTATCGATCTTGATGTACCGTGCCGAAATCAGTGCTGTGCTGCGCCGTGCTGAATTGCGATGTGCCATGGCGCGATTGTGCTCTATAGCCTCGTGGATCGAGTCCTCCTTTGCATCCGAGTCCTGACCGAACTGATCTGGATCTTAAGCTCGAGCTGCCTGAACACATAGTAGCTGCCCCAGAGCTAATGGACAGGGGAGCATGCCAGGAGGACGCGCCGCGAAACGTCCCAAGGGATGCGCCTTGCGACGTGCCAGGGGACGTGCCATGGGGTCGCACCGCGGGACGTGCCAAGGGGACGCGCTACGGAACGTGCCAATGGATGTGCCACGGGATGTGCCAGGGGACGCGCCACGCGACGTGCCAGGGGGACTCGCCAAGGGACGCCCCACGGAACTTGCCAAGGAACGTGCCAAGTTTCAATGCTGAAGGTATCGATCTTGATGTACCGTGCAGGAATATGTACTGTGCTGCGCCGTGCTGAATTGCGATGTGCCATGGCGCGATTGTGCTCTATAGCCTCGTGGATCGAGTCCTCCTTTGCATCCGAGTCCTGACCGAACTGATCTGGATCTTAAGCTCGAGCTGCCTGAACACATAGTAGCTGCCCCAGAGCTAATTGGCAGGGGGACATGCCAGGAGGACGCGACGCGGAACGTCTCAAGGGACGCGCCAAGCGACGTGCCAAGGGACGTGCCATGGGGACGCACCGCGGGACGTGCCAAGGGGACGCTACGGAACGTGCTGGGGACAAACGTTTCGCTCGAGACATCCTTTCAAAATCCTCAGAATTCCTGCGCGCGGGACGCGGCACGCGCGAGACATCCTCGGAATTCCTGCGAGCGGGACGTGAAAACAAGCAGCTCGCCTGAGCCATCCTCTGAATTCTAGTCCCCCACAAGCCCCCGCTCGAGACATCCCCAATATTGCAAAACCAGCGTTTCGCTCGAAACATCCTCAACAAATAATGAACAACAAGCGTTTCGCTCGAGACATCCTGCCAAAATTCTAAGAGATCCTGGCAAAACACACGAATTAGTCGAGACATCCTCGAAATTCCTGCGCGCGGGACGCGGCACGCGCGAGACATCCAGGAAATTCCTGCGAGCGGGGCGCGAAAACATACAATTTCGGCTAGGCAGGCCCGGCCGCCCCCCCCACAAGTAAACATGCTGATCAGCATGATGAATGTTTTTGCACGTCGATGCTGCTGGGTCTGGGTGCTGCAAAGCACCTGCACGGCGGCGGTGGCGGGGCCAGCTGACCATCTGGCCCCAGGCCCGCCACCCCTAAATTACGGCCCAAGGTGCAAACCTGGCTGCCGAACCCGCTGACCCTAGTCGGGTGATGGGGGATCACCCGATGCGGCCTCTTGGGGATCTCTCGCACGTGCAGGGTCGCGGAGACAGGTGTGGGCGGGTGGGTTTTATATGTAAGATGCGGTCCTGAGCCAAAACGGTACGGACCATGCATCTCTGCCCACCCCCACCCTGCTACGCCTGCATTGTGACCGCCGCATAAATGCTCATTCACACAATTTCGGCTAGGCAGGCCCGGCCGCCCACCCCACAAGTAAACATGCTGATCAGCATGATGCATGTTTTTAGGACAACGCATTGGCGACCTGCTTGACCCAGATGCAATTGCTGGGGGCGCCAGGTCCGGTGTTTCCCTGCAATGCCCCCCAGATCTCATTCAAGAACGGCCGCAGGACGTAGATGACGGTGGAGAAATGCGAGGCCAGGCCGACGAACGACCTGACGGTGGCGACCGCCACGACGTTGGACGACAGGATTTTGATGAGGATGTCGTTGAACTCCGCCACCTTCTCCGCGGAAATGGTGGTGGTCACCTTGTCCAGAGCGACGACGAAGTCACAGCCGATCCAACTGACGGACGTACCTCGCTGGACCTTGCGGAAAGCCAGCGGGAACCCCAGCGTCTGCAGAGCGAGAACGAACACGGAGACGGTACGATCACGCGAGGCGGCATCGCCTCTGATGGACGTGTTCGGGTCGTCCACATACAGCTCCGAACGTGCCCGGGGGCCACCGCCCTCGGCGGCCGGGAAAAAGAGAAACTGCGCGCAGCGCATGGCCAGGGAAGCCACGCATGCCCAATTCAAGGGGCCGTTTCGGGACCCTTGCGCGGCCCGAGTGTAGACCAAATACTGGCCTCGGCACCTCCCGACGTAATAGCGGCGCTCCTTGGGGCGAAGCGGCACCTGCCAGAAGGCATCAACAAAGTCAATGACGAACCGCTCCACGCCGATATCGCCCTCGGCAGGGGCTTCTGTCGTCATCCCCTGCCGGCTCTCCGCGAGCAGGAGAAGCATGTCGCGGACGGTGTCGGCGCCGCGCGGGAGCACCGCCCTGTGGGTTCGCCGAGTGGCCCCCGAGATGCTAGACTGGCGAAGGTCCAGCATGAGCCTCCGCTTCGTCCGCCCGCCTTTGGTCCGGACCCGGACCGCAAATCTGGACAGCGCGGGCTCTCCGCCCTGCCCAGGCATGCCCGGGCAGCGTCGATCGAGGCGAAGGGCGCGAGGTGCCCCTTCTCGACGAACTGGAACACCTCCTCGGCGGCGAGGGCGCCCTCGTCGAAGCTGCGATAGTTGGCGAACTCCTGGGCGGGGAGGAAGTCGCAGTCGGGCGTCAAGACGTCGTCGTCCGCGGCGCGGGGAACACGTCGGCCTCGGGCCCTGGGAGGACCTCGCGGCCGGCCGGCGCGCCGCTGATGACCCACCCGGCCGCGCCTGCGCCAGGATCCCCTGCAGCGGCGCCCCATCGGCTGAGGAGCTCAGCACGGGTGGGGGATGTGCAACCGTTCGCGTCCACGGGGCCCGAGTGCGAAGCTCTTAACACCTGCTGGAGCCACCGGCGAGGAACCTCCAGATCCTGCTCCGTAGCTCCCAGTGTGCTGGGGTCGATATCCTTGTCGTGCCCGCCTGACACAGCTCGCAAGATCCTCGCCTGCATCCCCGGGTTCTCGTCCAGGGCGCGGGCGAAGAGGCGGAAGAGGAGGGGGCCGAGCTGTAGGTGGCCCGGAACGCGGCCGACGGCGCCAGCGGTGTCGCGCATGCCCGCGCTGCACGACTGATCCTCGCGTTCCCGCCGCTCGGCCGGGTTGTCGGCGCACCCGCGCAGCGGCTGGCTGAAAGCGACCCGGGCGCGCAGCGGCGCGGCTGCGCTCACGGCGGCATTGGTCGCTGGACGTTTGCTTCCACTGTGTTGCATCGCAGCGCCGGCATGCGACGGCTCGCGGGCGAGGCTGCGGACTTGTCGGCGTTCCGCCGCCTTGTCGCGGCCCTGGCGCAGCAGCCCGTCAGCGACGCGTCGATTGAGGTCCGCCGGACACGCGATGGCTCGACCTGGGACGGGCCCCAGGTCAAGCGACCCGCGGAAGGTAAACCACGTCTCCTGATCTGATCCCTCGGCACACAGAGGGAGCGTCGAATCTGAGGCGTTGGGGATGTTCAGCAGCTCGACGACCGCGGGGAGGTTCAGCATGCTCGGCTGGCCTGCCTCGGCCGCAGGCTGCCCCAGGCTTGCCGGGCGCCCGTCGTGGCCGATGCACGCCACGAGGCGCGCTGCCCGAATCCCCAGGAGAGTGCCCATTCGAACTTTCTCCTTCTCCTGCGGCCTCAGAGAGGGAAGGCCGCACAAGTCGGGGACGTCGGGGCCCCGGAGAAGCTGGGCCTGCCCAGGTCCCGCCTGGCCACGCATCGCGAGGAAGCTGGAGGCTGGGGGCGCAACCAAGCCCCCATCGTACTCACCAGATTCTGCTCTCGCGAGGATCTTCATATATATGTAATCCTCCGCGAGGTTGTGCAGCTTGGGTTCGATGCGGGTGTCGAGGAAATCCACCTCGGCGCCGGCGGTCCGGAGGTAGGTGTCCAAGCCGTCCGGTCTGCCTCCATCTCCGTAGAAAGCGATGAGAAACTTCAGCCCGCGGCCGTCAGGTGGATCTTCCGCCGGTCTGGAAGCGAAGGCCGTAGCTACCGGCCTGGGTGCAGGGAGGGGCGCTGAGAGATGCTCCGGTCCAGCCACCGTCATGGCATCAACGCCCCTCTCCTGGGCCTCCGCTGCCTGGTCGAGTCACTTGCGGCCGCCGCCGCGGCCGCCGCCACCGCGGCCCCCCCGACCCTTGCCCCGGCCCCCGCTCGGCGCGCTCGGCGCTTTCGGGGTGGCGGAGCAGGGATTCGGGAAGCTGCTGCCGTGCCTGTTGTCAAGACACTTGGAGCGCTGGTGGACGAGGCTGCTATCCTTCTCGCAACGGAGGCCGCCCCCCGCGTTACGACAGGGTCCGTCCTGGAATCCGCCGCAGAGGCGCACCCCCCGCCTGTTCTTGACGAAGTGGTTGTCACAGACGTCGTGGACCTTGTCCTGGGGGCGCGGGCGCGTCCGTTGCTCCGGCTCCGCGTCTGAGCCCGCCGGCCGCTTGGCTCCCCGCGGGGCTCGGGCGTGCTGCGCGGGGCCCTCCGACGCTGTGACCAGGTGTCCGCTGCCGGGCGGGGCGACGGGGGCGTCGCCGCCCACGTGCTGGCTCAACGGCTGCGCCCTGATGACGATGAGGTGGGCCGGCCGCTCGAAGTTGTCCAGCCAGAACGTGGCGTCGGCGGCCGCGGCCGCCCAGACAGAGTCCCAAGGCTTATCAGGATTATACGGGACGGCCGCCTGCTTCCCGGCCGAGGAAGCCGCGGCGAAGTCCTGCTCAAGCTTGCGCCGCAGGCGGGGCATGTGCTCGAGCCGGCACCGGACGTCGGCCTGATACAGGAGGCTCCAGACGTCCGCCCCGTACAGGTTGTTGAAGTAGGCGAGCTTCCTGCGGTAGGTGAGAAGATTACCTATCTCCACGGTGCGGAAACCGAGGAAGGCGGTCTGAAGCATCTCATAAGACTCGTCCCAGGTAGCCAGATCCCCGGGGCCGAGGATCTCGTCCACCCTCGTGCGGCCATCGGAGGTGTTGACCAAACCTATGAATCGCATACGCCGCAGCAAGCGGTGTCCGTTCGGCCCGAAGACGCCGAAATCCAGGTACGGGGCGGTGCAAGTGTCGATGACATGCTTTGCCCCAGTGATCTGGTCCTCGGTGAGCTCTTGGTACGGCTCGGGGGGCTTGCCAATCTGCGCGCGGAAGTTCTCGTAGTGCTGCTTGACCACCGTCTCGTCGACCCTCTTGACGATTTGCTTGGAGGTCTGGTTGATGACCGTTATGCCGGGGGCTGCAGCCGAGGGCGCCAACGAGGCCTGCGACCCGGCGGCCGCTGCCTTAGCCGCCGCCTCCGCCGCCGCGCGGGCGTCGTGGGTGGCCGCAGTGGCAGCCTTGAGTGCCTGTGCAGCGGCAGCGTCTTGCGACTGCCGGCCGGCCTCCGCGTCCGCGACCTGCTTTGCCAGCTCCTCGCGCGTAAGAGCGGTGCCCGCCAGGAGCTGACTGATGTGGCCTACCAAGAGTACCGCCCGCCTCGGGAGCAGGCCAAGGGGGGCCTCGTCGATCCTGATGGCGTCGACTGCGGACGTGAACTCCTCATTAGGCATGCTTCCCAGGACGCGTGGGTGCTCAACACCGGTCGCCTGCAAGGCGGTGCAGAGGCCCTGCTTCTGCGGCTCCGTGAGCCCAACCCACGCCACGACCTTGTCCAGGGAGTCCATGCCGGCCATCTCCTCCCGGCTCGGCTCCATCGCGCACGAGCCCACGAGAAGGGCCAGGTGCGTTAGCGGTGAATGTGCACAATCTTATATGCAGGATGCGGTAACCGGTTTTATATGTAAGATGCGGTCCTGAGCCAAAATGGTACGGACCATGCATCTCTGCCCACCCCCACCCTGCTACGCCTGCATTGTGACCGCCGCATAAATGCTCATTCAAGCAATTCGCCTGAGACATCCCCTGAATTCTGGCCCCCCACGAAGCCCCCGCTCGAGACATCCCCAAATTTAGTAAAAACCAGCGTTTCGCTCGAGACATCCTCAACAAATTATGAAACACACGCGTTTCGCTCGAGACATCCTGCCAAAATTCTAAGACATCCTGACAAAACAAGCGAATTAGTCGAGACATCCTCAAAAATCCTGCGCGCGGGACGCGGCACGCGCGAGACATCCTTGGAATTCCTGCGAGCGGGACACGAAAACAAGCATTTCGCCTGAGACATTCTTTGAATTCTGGCACCCCACGAAGCCCCCGCTCGAGACATCCGCAAATTTTGCAAAACCAGCGTTTCGCTCGAGACATCCTCAACAAATTATGAAAATTACACTACACCCGCGCTCCCAGGGCCACGATCCCTCGTAAATTAAGCTACGTCAGCGCTCCCAGGGCCACGATCCCTCGTAAGGGCTCCTGGGCCCTCCTGGGTCTTCCTTGGATCTCTTGGGCCCTCCTGGGCTCTCCTGGAGCCCTATTCTCCTGGGCCCTCCTTGGGCCCCCTGGTGCCTCTTGGAGCCTCTTGGGTCCTCCTGGGCCCTCCTGGGCTCTCCTGGGCCTTCCTGGGCTCTCCTGGGCTCTCCTGGAGCCTCCTGGGCCCTCCTGGGCGAAGTCAAGGTCCGAAAACACATGGGACTTGCCACATTTCTGAAATTCGGTGCCACCCCTCACGCAGGTCGGCGGGGTCAGGGTCCAACATGATGGACCCACGAACCCGGAAAGGGATATAGACATGTGGAGCATGGACACGTTTTCATGATACCCAACTGGGCAACACCTCACGAAACATCCCACGAGACACCTCACGAAACAGCCCACGAGACACCTCACGAAACATTCCACGAGACACCTCACGAAACATTTCACGAGACACCCCGCGAAACATTCCACGAGACACCCCACGAAACATTCCACGACGACAGGCAACCACTCAACCAAGGCGGTGTGGTCGTGCTGGGGAGTGGTCGTGCTGGGGTGTGGTCGTGCTGGGGGGTGGTCGTGCTGGGGGGTGGTCGTGCTGGGGGGGTGGTCGTGCTGGGGGGTGGTCGTGCTGGGGCGTGGTCGTGCTGGGGCGTGGTCGTGCTGGGGCGTGGTCGTGCTGGGGCGTGGTCGTGCTGGGGTGTGGTCGTGCTGTGGTAAGGTCGTGCTGGGGTGCGGTCGTGCTGGGGTGTGGTCTTGCTGGGGTGGGGTCGTGCTGGGGTGTGATCGTGCTGGGGTGGGGTCGTGCTGGGGTGTGGTCGTGCTGGGGTGTGGTCGTGCTAGGGTGGGGTCGTGCTGGGGTGGGGTCGTGCTGGGGAGTGGTCGTGCTGGGGTGTGGTCGTGCTGGGGTGTGGTCATGCTGGGGCGTGGTCGTGCTGGGGTGGGGTCGTGCTGGGGTGGGGTCGTGCTGGGGTGGGTTCGTGCTGGGGTGCTCCGCACCCTGTGATTTATCGATCGGGTCGTGCTGGGGTGTGGTCGTGCTGGGGTGTGGTCGTGCTGGGGTGTGGTCGTGCTGGGGTGTGGTCGTGCTGGGGAGTGGTCGTGCTGGTCGTGCTGGGGGGTGGTCGTGCTGGGGGGTGGTCGTGCTGGGGGGTGGTCGTGCTGGGGGGGTGGTCGTGCTGGGGCGTGGTCGTGCTGGGGCGTGGTCGTGCTGGGGTGTGGTCGTGCTGTGGTGAGGTCGTGCTGGGGTGTGGTCGTGCTGGGGTGTGGTCTTGCTGGGGTAGGGTCGTGCTGGGGTCGGGTCGTGCTGGGGTGTGGTCGTGCTGGGGTATGGTCGTGCTGGGGTGGGGTCGTGCTGGGGTGGGGTCGTGCTGGGGTCTGGTCGTGCTGGGGTGTGGTCGTGCTGGGGTATGGTCGTGCTAGGGTGGGGTCGTGCATTTCGCTCGAGACATCCTGCCAAAATTCCAGGAAATCGTACAAAAACAAAGAATTAGTCGAGACATCATCGAAATTCCTTCGCGCGGGGCGCTTTTCCGCGTCGCGGTCGCTCTGCAAAACCGGTTTCGGAGACTCCTGCAAACAAGCGTTTCGCTCGAGACATCCCAACTCTGCAAAACCAGCGTTTCGCTCGAGACATCCTCAACAAATTCAAAAACAAGCGTTTCGCTCGAGACATCCTCAAATTTTAATTCGCCGGCCTCCTTCGACCTCGTTATTTATCAGGGAAAAAATTCGCCGGCCTCCCTCAAGCAGGCACCGGGGGACAGGTTTACCTACTAAAAGAGAACCCTGGGCCGATGCCCTTTCCGGGAAAAACACATGGGATTTGCTACATTTCTGAAATTCGGTGCCACCCCTCTCGCAGATCCGCGGGGTCAGGGTCAAAAAACACATGGGATTTGCTACATGTCTGAAATTCGGTGCCACCCCTCACGCAGATCCGCGGGGTCAGGGTCCAAAAACACAGGGGATGTGCCGCATTTCTGAAATTCGGTGCCACCCCTCACGCAGATCCGCGGGGTCAGGGTCCAAAAACACATGGGATTTCTGCTATTTCCGAACTTATGCAACTTCAAGAATCCAAAATTCCGTTCCCAGCGCCGTTCTGGAGGCCGCAGTACCTCGTTATTTATCGAGCGAACGCGTTTACATTGATTTTTTTATCGTTTAAAGTCGATGTCGGAAACATGATGGACCCACGAACCCGGAAAGGGATATAGACATGTGGAGCATGGACACGTTTTCATGATACCCAACTGGGCAACACCTCACGAAACATCCCACGAGACACCTCACGAAACAGCCCACGAGACACCTCACGAAACATTCCACGAGACACCTCACGAAACATTTCACGAGACACCCCGCGAAACATTCCACGAGACACCCCACGAAACATTCCACGACGACAGGCAACCACTCAACCAAGGCGGTGTGGTCGTGCTGGGGAGTGGTCGTGCTGGGGTGTGGTCGTGCTGGGGGGTGGTCGGCTTGGGGTGGTCTGCTGGGGGGTGGTCGTGCTGGGGGTGGTCGTGCTGGTGCGTGGTCGTGCTGGGGCGTGGTCGTGCTGGGGCGTGGTCGTGCTGGGGCGTGGTCGTGCTGGGGCTTGGTCGTGCTGGGGTGTGGTCGTGCTGTGGTAAGGTCGTGCTGGGGTGCGGTCGTGCTGGGGTGTGGTCTTGCTGGGGTGGGGTCGTGCTGGGGTGTGATCGTGCTGGGGTGGGGTCGTGCTGGGGTGTGGTCATGCTGGGGTGGGGTCGTGCTGGGGTGTGGTCGTGCTGGGGTGTGGTCGTGCTCGGGTGGGGTCGTGCTGGGGTGGGGTCGTGCTGGGGAGTGGTCGTGCTGGGGTGTGGTCGTGCTGGGGTGTGGTCATGCTGGGGCGTGGTCGTGCTGGGGTGGGGTCGTGCTGGGGTGGGGTCGTGCTGGGGTGGGTTCGTGCTGGGGTGCTCCGCACCCTGTGATTTATCGATCGGGTCGTGCTGGGGTGTGGTCGTGCTGGGGTGTGGTCGTGCTGGGGTGTGTCGTGCTGGGGTGTGGTCGTGCTGGGGTGTGGTCGTGCTGGGGAGTGGTCGTGCTGGGGTGTGGTCGTGCTGGGGGGTGGTCGTGCTGGGGGGTGGTCGTGCTGGGGGGTGGTCGTGCTGGGGCGTGGTCGTGCTGGGGCGTGGTCGTGCTGGGGCGTGGTCGTGCTGGGGCGTGGTCGTGCTGTGGTGAGGTCGTGCTGGGGTGTGGTCGTGCTGGGGTGTGGTCTTGCTGGGGTAGGGTCGTGCTGGGGTCGGGTCGTGCTGGGGTGTGGTCGTGCTGGGGTATGGTCGTGCTGGGGTGGGGTCGTGCTGGGGTGGGGTCGTGCTGGGGTTTGGTCGTGCTGGGGTGTGGTCGTGCTGGGGTATGGTCGTGCTAGGGTGGGGTCGTGCATTTCGCTCGAGACATCCTGCCCAAATTCCAGGAAATCGTGCAAAAACAAAGGAATTAGTCGAGACATCATCGAAATTCCTTCGCGCGGGGCGCTTTTCCGCGTCGCGGTCGGCTCTGCAAAACAAGCGTTTCGCTCTAGACATCCTCGGCAAACTCTGCGGAGCAAGCGTTTCGCTCGAGACATCCTCAACACACGAAAAAGTGGCCCGCACCCTGTGATTTATCGATCGGGATTTCAAAAACAAGCGTTTCGCTCGAGACATCCTCAAATTTTAATTCGCCGGCCTCCTTCGACCTCGTTATTTATCAGGGAAAAAATTCGCCGGCCTCCCTCAAGCAGGCACCGGGGGACAGGTTTACCTACTAAAAGAGAACCCTGGGCCGATGCCCTTTCCGGGAAAAAGTCGGCTTCACCTGTGAAATATCGAGGTTTCCTTAAAGGCAGTAAAATTCCAAGAGCACGATCTGCGTGAGGGGTGGCGAGAAATTGCCTTCGTCCTCACAATTTTAATTCGCCGGCCCCCTTCGACCTCGTAATTTATCGCACAAGAAATTCGCCGGCCCCCTTCAAGTAAAAACCGGGGGTAAACCTACTAAAAGAGAACCCTGGGCCCAGGCCCTTTCCGGGAAAAAAGAAGAAAAGAGAGGGAGAGATAAACAGTGCACGGCAGAGGTACTTTGGCGGGCAAATGGTGAGACAAGTTCCGCCGCCAGTAGCGCTGCGGTTGCCTAGTGAGATGGCACACACGAAGAACAACGACGACGACGACGACGACGACGGCGACGACAACAACGACGACAACGTCGTCATGATCGACCCACAAACCCGGAAAGTTTTTTTTTTTGCGGATGGCAGCTCGCCGTCTTCGGGAGGAGTGGGCCAAGGTCAATATGAGGAGCCTAGAGAGCGTGGAGTTCATCCATCCAC